AAACACACACATATACAATATGGCAGCTCTGTCTGTGTGTCTGTGTGTGTGTGTGTGTGCGTGCGGCTGACATAATGAAACATTATTAAGAGCCACGACGTCAACGCAGCAAAAGGTATCTAAATTTGAGAAAATGTTGCCCGTCAGCCCTGAGGCAGCTCGAAGAGGGGCAGAGGGGCAGTGGAGCAGAGGGGTTGGGAGAGGGGCGCGCCATGAGTTTTGGCTTCTGCAGTCGCTGGCGTCGACGTCGCCTGCCAATTTGCGTCCGCGCCCGCGTTACACAATGGAGCTGGAGAGGAAAACACAAATATCACATTTACAGCAAGCAGCACTCCACCATTTTATGTTATTACGTTGTCTCTGTGTGCGTGCGTGTGTGTGTGTGTGTGTGCGAGAGTGCGACGAGCTGCTGCTGCTGCTGCCCCTTGCCCAGCCTCTGTCTCCTGATTGGGGGGTGCACTTGGTCGTAGATTGGTTTACAATCTCAGTCATCCCCTGCTGAGAGCAGAGACGCAAGAGACTAGCTCCATCTCTGTCTCGCACACAGACGGGGATGCTGATGCGCTGACGCTGACGCTGGCAGCGCAGCACGACGCCCGGGATAACGGCAACGGCAGCGGCAACGACGACGTCGACAGTAGAATCACAGTTATTCGAGATACGAAAACATAGCAGCGCCGACAAAAGCTCATGGAAGCGAGAGCGGCAGCGGTTTTGATAAATAAATGTTTGAGTTATGTAGAAAAACATTTCGGGCGAGAAGATTTTCGTTTTCGTTGCGATTCAGTTAACATTTGGCAAAAGGATTCCGCCTAAAACAGACAAGCCGACGGATGATGCAACAGACCGAAGACTCAAGCTCGTAAGATCTCAACAGTGTCACGCGTAGTTCAATAAAAACGGAAGCGGTAAACGGTAAACGGTGAACGGTAAACGGGAAACGGCAACGGAATCGGAAATAACATTGCATACTTCAAATTAGTGTTGAAAATATCTAAGAAAAAAATTTATGTGAAAAGCAAACGACAAAAAAAAAGTTGAAAGCATAAAGCATAAAACATAAATCAGTTCCTGAGAAATAGTCAAACAAGTGTTACGTCCTCTTCATACATAAGTTAAGAATTTGATTAGCATATAGTAGACAGATCCTTAGAATAGTTAAGAGCTAAAGCCGCAACAACAACAACAACAACAACAACAACAACAATGCACACCAGCACAGATCCTATGCACGCCCTGCACGACTGCTCCTCGCAGTCGCCGCCCCTGCACAAGGCACAGCGCGGCGGTCTCACATCCTCTCGAGCCTCCATTGCCGCCGCCGCCGCCGCTGCGGATGAAATGTCCATGATCTGCGATGACAGCGACTTTGAGTCAACGCCAGCCGGCGGCAGCAGCAACAGCGGCGGCGGCGGCGATAATAATAACGGCAACGGCGGCGGCGGCACCAGCACCGGCGGCCCGCTGGTGAAGCCGCCCTACTCCTACATAGCCCTGATCACCATGGCCATTCTGCAGTCGCCGCACAAGAAACTCACACTCAGTGGAATATGTGATTTCATAATGTCCCGGTAAGTTTTTAATAAACAATTAAAACAAGTTTAGCATTCCAATTGGAATGGATAGATGTCGTCTAGCAGTCTAATTTGAATAAAGCTTATTAAGTTTGAGCATTATTAATATTGATTAAAACTGCCTGATCAAAATTTTATATGCGATATGTTTATTTAACATTGAATTTAAGTCGGAAATTAAATTACATTAAATATTAATTAAATTGCATGCTATAAATTTTATTTCATTTAGTTAATAATAAATAAAAAGTATGTGTAAATGAAATATAATACATAAAGTTTTAACAAAAGTTTGATTGAAATTATTACTATTATTTTAAAAGTAATTAAAAATTAATATTTTATATTAATTCAATTTATTTTACTTTGATGTAAGTAAAAAACAATAAATATATTAATTTGATTTATTTTACTGCAAAATTTATATCAAAAAATATATAAAAATTTAAAATAAAAAGAATTATTTAAGCAAATATCATCATAATTATTGGATTAAATTTATTTATTTTTTTAATAAACTAATTAATTAAATTCTTAAAATCTAATTTAATAAAGATTTGCTATATCATTTTCATTAGTTTATAACTATTTTAGGCTTAATTTAATTTAATTTTGTCTTTTATATATAATTTTGTTGTCTTTTATATTTTTGCTATATTCATGAAATATATGAAATGTTTATTGTATTACTTTATATGCATACAAATATTTAATTTATATATAATAGTAATTTTACGTTGTTTACATAATTTTTACATAGTTTTAAATATTAGTTTTATAGTTTTATTCATGTAGGAGAAAAACTCTTTTTAAATAGAATAATGATATAATTTGATTATCTATAAAAAAAATGACAACAAATTTTTGGATATTCGCATGCGCTACATATTGAACCATTTGATATCCTTGCAGTTTTCCATACTATAAGGATAAGTTTCCCGCTTGGCAGAACTCGATACGGCACAATCTCAGCCTGAACGACTGCTTTATAAAGGTTCCGCGCGAGCCGGGCAATCCGGGCAAGGGCAATTTCTGGACACTGGATCCGCTGGCCGAGGACATGTTCGATAACGGCAGCTTCCTGCGCCGACGGAAGCGCTACAAGCGAGCGCCGGCCATGCAGCGCTTCTCGTTTCCGGCGGTGTTTGGCACCTTGTCGCCGTTCTGGATACGGAAGCCGGTGCCGCTGGTGCCGGTGCACTTCAATGTGCCCAACTTCAATGGCAGCCGCGACTTCGATGTGATGCACACGCCCAGCGATGTGTTCGACACGGCGCTGCGTGTCGATAAGAAATTCAACTTCTTTGCCAATGCCGAGGCTTCGTTCTATCAGAATAACAGCGACAAGTTCGACCGCCTGTCGTTCATCAATCGCCGCGCGGATGTCATTGATGCACTGCCTCACAGCAGCAGCACCGGCGTTACCGGCAGTGGCAGCGGCAGCGGCGTCGTCGGCGATGCCAGCAGAGCCAACAAGTACAAAAATCCATATGCATTCGATGTGTCCGCAACGGCGGCCGGGCTCGGCCCAGTCGACTATGCGGACCGAGCCAGCAATAGCTATGCCGATCTCAATGTGTATAACGATGATGTGGATGCCGATGATACCTCGTGCGACAAGATCGACGTGGAGAGTGCCAATGAGCACGAGCAGGACTCGCATATATCGGACTCCGTCGACTCGGTGTGCACGAATCCAACCCGATTGGAGGTGGCCTCAGAGGCCACCACACGCGACCCAGATCCCGAGCCGGAGCGCAACTCGCCCTATGCGCTGCTCTTCGAGCAGACCGAGGCATCCAATGGCTCAGTCGCGATTACGTCCAGCCCAAAGACGCCCGCCCGATCACTGACCCGATCCACTCTGCTCCACATTGACTCGGAGCCCGCGAACCTGAGATGCGCCAGGCAGACAATTGCCAAAGACTTTCGCATCGAGACGCTGATTGGACACGGGCACAGCGATGGGGCGGCCAGCGATTAGAGAGACGAGATGAGATCTCCCTCTCTCCCTCTCTCGCTTCCTCACTCTGTCGGCATATGCTGCCTGCCTTGGGCATATTTTAACACTTCTTCTGTACGTTGTAAACTTTAGCTGTAGTGAAAAACACGGACCCATTGATGTAACCCCCCTCCCCTCCTAGCATTCCCCCAGTTACCGTTATGCCAAATGCACGAACATTTCAATGCGACCAAATAAACGCGCCAGTTGCGAGTCCACATCAATTGTATAAATTATATAGAGAACACGCACACACACATACACACACAACTCAATATCTATGTCCGAATGTAAGGAGAATATATACATATATAAAGAAATTACATATTTATAGCATACTTTTAAACGATTGCATATGGTATATATGTATGTATATGTGTGTACACACATAGCTGTTCATGCATATATGTGTGTGTGTGCTACTACAACTACATATATATGTATATGCCCGTCTGTCTCTCTGTCTGTGTGCGTATATCCACACACATACATATATACTGTATGCCAATGCGCTCAGCACATACAAACACTATTAACTTTAGACGTAGCCACTAAGAGATTTGCTGATGTTATTGAAAATTTAATAAAAACTATAATTAGAAAATGAAACTCTTTGATTATAGCATACAATATGTAAGTAAAGTGGATAAAGTAAGTAAATGGGATTTCATATAAATATTAAATATGAATTACTTAAAATATTTTAATTTATTAAATTGTTTATATATATTA